TTGCTCAGCTGGGGACGCTGCTGTGCCTGTCCGCATCGGGGTAAGGGGAGGAACAGAAGGATCCAGAAGCCTTATTGCTGGGCTTCTCTGGCTCGGGGTCTCATGAAAGAAGTCCCATGACCACTTCCTCCTTTCCCACTTGGGTGTCCGGCTCATCCACCCAAACACCTGCCTCATCTTAGGATGTCCCTTCCCCCGGGAGGGTGCCCGCACCTCATCTACCATGAGCCAGGCCGGCTCGGCGGGAGCCCTGCCATTCACAGCGCACGGGCGCGTGTTACAAATGAAAGCATTCTCTGGCCGGTCCTCTTTGCGAGGCAGCAGGGAGGAAGAGGAGGGGAGCGCACAGTGGCTGCAGCCAAAGCCTGGCTGGCCGGAGGGCCGTGTTGGCGGGCAGAGTGGAGTGTCTTCGGATTTGCTCACTTCCCACACAGAAGCAGGCCTTGTACAGATCACAGCTGCTGGGTCACGCTGGAGTTCATATCACAGTTTATCAAAGACGCTGGGCTTCCCCTGCTCTCCTTTTCTACTGAGAATGAGTGGACCGGTTCACGGGCAGACAAGGCCTGGGCTTGTTCTGCCTGCACCAGCGCGCGGGGCGGGAGGCGGCTGGAGGAGGGCAGTGCACACCAACACCTACGCGGGGCACAGTTGTGTTAGAGGGTGCACCGGGGCCAGCTCTCCGCCCAGAAGGGTCAATCATTTCACCCTCTGGTTTCCTTCCCCAAAGACCACCGTGAGAGGCAGAGGCCAGGTCGGGAGGGTGGACAACCCCCTTTACCAAACATGGCCAGCACTGGGGCTGGAACACGCATGCTCTTGCATAACCCCCCGTGATATGACAAGGTAGACACTATTGTCATCTCCGTTTCCTGGCCAAAGCAGAAAGGGCTTGGAAACCTGTCAGGAGAATGGGAGGACTGGGGTCTGAACCCTAGTCTGATTCTAGAAGCTACTCTTCCTTGCAGTGCCTGTGGGAGGCACGTCTGCCCCACTGCTGTGCAGGCCTGGGGAGAGGATGGGGGTACAGCGCCAGAAGCTCACAGCACCCCTTGCCACATGTCCCCCAATCTGTATGTTTGGCCTCAACTCTCTGCAGCCAAGAGAAGGGCCCAGGATGGGCGCAGGTGACGGCAAGGCTGGCTGAGAGACGGGTTTGGAGCTGTTGGCTTCCCAACCTCAATGTATCTCTAAATGGTCACGTCTACCCAATCAGGAGGCCACATGGACACCGAAAGGACGTCTAACCCACCCAGGCCTGGCTGGAGTTCGGGTACGCCATTCCCCTCCCCCAACTCCCACAAGGAGGGGTGGCTGGGGAAGCAGCGTGGGGGAGGGAACTCACGCATCTTCCTCTATGCCAAGAACCCCCACAGATGTTTATCTTGAAGAACTCCGGATGCCTTTGTCCTTCTATAGACAGCAGCTGCTCCCGGGCCCAGAGCTGACACACCACTGCAGAAGCGATGATTTCTGCTTCTCGGCAGGAAGAATCTCTCCTTTCTCAGTGCTGAGTCTTGGAGGCTGAGAGGAGCCATGTGTAGTCTGCTTCGCAGCTGAAGGAGCGGGTTAGGAAATCACTTGGTGCCTTCCTTATCAGGCCTGTGGCTTGTCCCAGCAGTCTGGTGTGCCCGTCTCTGCAGCCACAGCAGGAACGAGGAAAACGAAGAGCAGAGGCAGGAGGGCGGGTGGACAGCTCCAGGGCTCTTCCCAGCAAGCCTCTGCCGATGGCCTCTGTCCTGTGTGACCATCCAGGGGAGGATGGCGGAAGCGACATGTTTGCAAGGCCTCCTCCAGCCAGATGCTGTGCTGTGTGCCTAGACTGGGTGGCTGGGACTGTGACCAAGGGCTGGTCAGCAGTGGCCTCGCAGGCTGGCCCCCAAGCCGGCTTGGCCCTGAGGAACTAACACGTACTGACAGGTGGGGGTGCTGCTTCTGGGGACGGCAGCCTGGACAAATGTGGCAAAAGGCTCGGAGAGACCAGTCCTGTGGCCCAAGCACGGGTCCCTTCTGTCCCAGCCCACTGGGCTCTTGTGCAGGTGCCAAGGGCTAAGAGACCGTCTGTGGCTGTGCCCGTGGGAGTGAGGCTCAGCCTGGAGGCCAGGCTCGATGTCCACGAGAACCTAGTGCGGCCCACGAGAGGTCTGCGCCCGGAAGGGCGCGCGGCCACGCTGGATGTACCGAGCTGCCAGAAGGACGAGGCGGGAGGACTCTTGGGCCTGGATCCTGTGCCCTCCGAGGAGCTGGGTCCCAGGTGGTCCTGGACGCAGGCTGTTCAGGGCCCCTCGTGGCACCAGGCTTGGCACTCTCCCACAGAAGGGACAAAGTGGTGGCTGCAGAATTAGCGGGGTGCAGGGGTTTTCAGCCCAGTTCCAACCAAGCCCAGTGGGAACGCTGCTTCCTCTTTTCCCTGCTGCGAAATGAGGATCCCTGTGGCCCGGGAGATGCTGCGAAGCACGCCAAGCTTCGCTGCCCTGGAGTCTGCACATGGGAACGTGGTGGTGGCCCCGGGCGGGTGGGGATGACGCACTGCACACCCCCCACTGCTGCCTGCGCTTCTGCTCCCCGCAGTCTGGGGATGCTGGTTACTCGCTGGCTCCCTCTCCCCGAGTCTCTGGTTGGCGTGTGAGGCTGAGACAGGATGGAAAAACCCATTACGGCCGGTTCCCCAGGGGGAAGCTACAAGGTCCTTTTACAAGGTCCTTTTCCAAAGGCCTCTCTCCTTCCACTGGTTCCCTGACATTCTTGGCGGTAAGGAGAGCCCATCAAGTGTGCTGACACCTCTGTAGTTTGGAAAACCACAGCAAGTAACTGTCACTCTTGTGGAACATTCCAGTTTCCGTTGGGGGGGGATCTCTTGCACCACACCTAATCTCTACTTCAGTCCCTTACCCAAAATTGTCCAGCACCATGGGAAGACAAACCACAGACATCTGCCTCTTCTGCCCAGTGAAGCATCCCTTTCTGCTTCTGAGACAGTGGTTCTCAATCGGGGTGACTTTGCTCCTCAGGGGACATTTGGCAATGTTTAGAGACATTTCTGACTGTCGCAGCGGGGTGAGGGTGGAGGCCTGGGTTGTTGCACCGCACCGGACAGCCCCGTCACGAAGGATTATGCGGCTCCAAATGCCAATAGTGCTGAGTTTGAGAAACTGCTCTAGAAGAGCCCAGAGAAGCAATAGGGCAGTGACAGCCTCCCCATCACCACAGGGACATCCTTTGGTGGTCTGGACCATCACAAGCCCCTTCCTCCTGCTGCAGTCCTGCTGTTTGTCTTTCTGGTCAGGCAGGCCCGTCCCTTCCCATGACTCAATCCTTCAGCCCCGTCCTCAACTCCAGACTCAGCCCTCAGCTGGCTGGTGGCCTCCTCGCCCAGCAGGCAAGTTTCTTGTCACTTGTCTGAACCTAGACGGCCCCAGCCTTGTCTCCTGCCATCTCCCTCTTCCCATCGCTTCCTCCTGCCTCTCTGGCCCCTCGTCACAGACTCTTCTTCCAGCTTCTCCTCCTTTCCCCGACCATTAGACTGGCGCTCTCAGCGTTCGGCCTCAGATCCCTTCCATCCTCACTCTCTCCCCTATTCCCCAAGCATGAAGGCTCCATAAGTGCAGAACCACCTAGAACGGCACCTTGCACGGAGTTGGTGTTTAGTAAATATCTGATGAATGAATGAATGACTATGTCATTAATTTCCAGATTTGTATCTTGGGACTAGGTTCTCCTTTTCAGAGCCAGGTACAGCAAACTACTCCGTCAACATCTTCCTTTTGACGTCCCCAAAGCAATCAAACTCAAACACGCGGCTGCCCCCCTTTTGGGCCCTTTTTCCCGGGTTCTCCCTTCGGGGCTTGTTGCGGCCTTCCCTTCGGTTGCCCAACCCGGGGGCTTGGTTGTTCCCGGCTTCCTTTTCCCCCCCTTTGTTCTTTCGTTCTGGCCCCATTCGGTTGGTGTTCTTCTTCTTCCCGGATTCCGGCCTTCCCCCTTCCCCCCCCGCCTGACCTCCTCCGGTCCCCTCACGAGCTGCCGTGGTCTCGCTCGGATAACAGCCTCCCACCTGGTCTCCACCTTGACCCTCCAACCCATTCTCCCAGCAACACAGTCACTTTCAAATCAGAAATGTGGTCACGTCGCTCCCCCATCAAGCCCTTTCAATGGCTCCCTGCCAAGCTCCGGGCAAGGCCGCCGATCCTGAGTGTGGCCCACAGACTGCACCTGGTTTACAGCAAATGAAGGCCAGGCTCTTTCTTGCCTGGAACCAGCATACAGGCCAGGCCCTCTGCAACCCCTCGGCCCCCAGACCGCATCACTCTAGTGTGCTTCCCAAGCACATGGACCACTTTAATAACCCAGCACCTCGGAGGGTCCGATTTCACTGGTCAGGGGGGCCCGGGCATCTTTTGGTGGGGAGCCGGGAGGAACCTCTGCCCCCGATTCAGCTTCCACTAGGCTGCAGGTGAAACCGGGCCGCTCTTCTAGTGCCCGTTCCCTGGAGCTGAGTGGGAGGCAATGGGCCAGTCCCAGCCATGTTGCTGGCGATGACAGTTCTATGGTCCTCGAGCCACTAGGACTGTGCCCTGGGACTGTCCAGGTTAGGCCCACACGACGCAGGAACCTGGCTCCACCAAGCCTGGGCAAATCCTGTGGTGGAGACAGGACCTCACAGCATAGCCCTGTGTCACGTGCCACGTGGCTCACCCCTTTTCCTCTCTAAAAGGCTGACAATGGCATTTATCGAGAGGATGTTCCACCTCAAGGCAAAGCTACCTTGACAAGCAAAAAGCGAATTCGGTTTTTTTGAAAAATGTCAACACCGACCTGCCTTCTGTTGGTAGCGCCAGCAACACTGTATGAAGGGGGAACCCTCTTCATTTAAGAAAGGCCAAAGGTCAGGAAGAGGAGGAGGGAGAAGGGAAAGAGAAGGTAGCTGTCCTGACACCTTGTGTGGTGCGAACACGGAAAGCCGTGGCCACGTGAGGCAGAGGAGAGGGCACGCAGAGGCTGACCTGATGATGAAGGGGCCTCTGACCTCCAGGAGCTTCCGTTCACTGCTGAACCTCTTGAGAAGATTGATCATGAACTTATAGAAGTAGGAGTTCATGGTGGGAGTGGAAGGAGAACATTCTAAGCCTTTGGTACCTGCAGAGAAAGGGACAGAGCCAGGATTTACTCTGATTACGTGTGCACAGGAGGATGAGATCCCTACAGAATACAGACCATTGGAAATGCCAAAAAGGTGTGTGTGGGTTTGTGTATCACACTGTGCACCCTCCATCCAAGCCCAAACCACTCAGCGAACATTTCTTACATGTAAGACCCTGCAAGGCCCTGTGCATTTCTTTAAAAAAAAACCAAACGTCTATTTGTTATCCTAATAAATGAAATACACTTGGGGTCTACGTGGGCCAGTTAAGGACAAACAAGAAGTCAGACAGACTGAGGCTGTGTGCAAGGCAGGCACACGATCTCAATGGTCAACACAGTCGGCAGACCCACGACAGGCAAAAGCCAAGCTCCTTTCTTAATGTTACTTGAGAAAAATAAATTATGCACACACCCAACTAGATTAAAAACAGCAGACATTGATAAAATGTTACAAAGCGTTTGAATTTTTATCAGACATTCTTTCTTCCTCACCATCGGGCAAAGATGCTCTTTTAGGTTAGGCATCTTCTCAAGGCCCCAAGGTGGCTTTATAACCAGAAACACAAATGTCTCTGACATGTGTCCCAGCTGAAAACACACTGGGGTACAGATATCACGGCCCCTTCCGGCCCACCCCGCACATGTGTCCCTCTGTAAAGCACCACACCGAGGGGACAAGGGGAGGCTGCCGGAATGCTTGGCCCTAAGCTGGTGTATTCACACACCTCTGACCTCCATGGCTCAGAGGTGACAGGGATGGCAGGAACCCTCACCCACTCTGCCCAGAACACTAACAGTGTATCTTTAAAAAAACCCAAAAAAACCAACAGCTGTCTGATATACTTCATATACCATAAAGTTTGTCCTTTTAAAGTGTAAAATTCAGTAGTTTTCAGAATATTCCCAAAGTTGTGCAGCAATCATCATTAATTTCAGAACATTTTCAACACCCCCCAAAAGAAACCCCATGCCCATTAGCAGTCCCCTCCCCACTGTTCTCTCCCCAAGTCTCTGGCAGCCACCAATCCACTTTCCGTCTCTATGGATTAATATCTGCCCATTTTGGACATTTCATATAAATGGAACCACATAGTATGTGGCTTCTTTTACTTAGCATATTTTCAAGGTTCATCCATGTCATAGTATGTATCAGTTTTTAATTGATTTTTATGGCTTAAGAATATTCCATTGTATGAATATACCATATTTTGTTTATCCGTTCATCAGCTGGTAGACATCTGGTTGCTTCTACTTTTTGCTATTATGAATAATACTGCTATGAACATTCATTAAAAATATGTGTTTGAGCCCGTTTCTGATTCTTCTAGGCATATATGGAGGAGTAGAACTGATGGGTCATATGGTAATTCTAACTTTTGACGAACTGGTGAACTGTTTTCCACAGTGGCTGTACCATTTTACATTCCCACCAACAATGCATGAGGGTTCCAACTTTCCCATAGCCTCGCCAACGCTTGTTATTATCTGCCTTTTTGATTACAGCCACCCTCTTGATAGAAAATGGTATCTCACTATGGTTTTGGTTTGCCATTTCCTGAATGACTAATGACAGTGTGCTTAGTGGCCATTTATATATCTTCTCCAGAGAAATGTCTACTCAAATCCTTTGCCCATTTAAATATTGGGCTATTTGCCTTTTTATTGTTGACTTGTAGGAGCTTTTCTTATATTGGATACAAGTCTGTTATCAGACATGTGACTTGCAAATATCTTCTATTCTGTGGGTTGTCTCTTTTTACTTTCTTGATGGTGTCCTTTGAAGCAACAAATCTTTAATTTTGATTAAACATATCTATTTTTTCTTTGGTTGCTTGCACTTTTAATGTTATAGCTAAGAAATTATTATCTAACCCAAGGTCATAAAGATTTGCTGATATGCTTTAGGTCTCTGGTCCATTTTTTTTTTTTTTTTTTTTGAGACAGGGTATTGCTCTGTTGTTGCCTGGGCTAGAGTGCAGTGGTGTCGTCATAGCTCACTGCAACTTCCAACTCCTGGACTTAAGCGATCCTCCTGCCTCAGCCTCCCGAAGTGGCCGGGACTACAGGCTATCTGGCTTCTGATCCACTTTCAGTTAATTATTGCAGATGATGTGAGGAAGAGGTCTAAATTCTTTTGCATGTGGATAGACATCCAGTTGTCCCGGTATAACGTGAGGTCTTAACAGCCAATTAACAGCTACTACCTATTGAGCAAAGCACTTACTATGTGCTATGCATGCTGAAAGCCCTCACACATAGTACCTAATTTAATTCTCAAAATAACCTTTGAAAAGATGCACCATTACCATCCCATCACATACACAGGGAAATCATGAGTCAGGCTGCAGTTGATCCAATGCCACAGAGCTGGGGAGTGGTAGTTGCTGACCCCAGGCAGCTGGTCTTCAGAGCCCACGTTCTCATCAAGCCCTAGGCACCGATGTTTGGGCAGGTTTGAGGCTCCCAGGTTAGGAGGTAGAGCGTTGCTAGGCAGGAGGGCAGAAGATGGCATAAAGACCTAAGCCATGGTCCTGCCAAGCCAAGACTGAGGACACAGAAAATAATGCCACCAAGAGCTGTGGAGCAGGCATCTGGGCACAGCTCTCTGGAAACCCAGGGAGGACATGGGGGTTAGCAGAGGAGACTACAGAAGGATTCGGGGCCCTCATTTCCGGGCCAGCCCCTCTCTGGTCTAGGAGCCCAGTGGGAGTCATGACTTTCTCCCTGGACCAGGGAGGAGATGGCAGGCACCAGCAAAGCTAGGCAGGATGCACGATTTCTGAGAATCCAACTCGGCCGGGGGAGGTCATACTGGCAGAAGCATCAGCCCAAAGCACAAAACAAGAATATGTGGAACCTTCAGAGTATCACAAGCAAGTCTTACAGAGGAGCCTCTATGGACTGACTTTATGAGATGCCCATGGCCAGAAAGCGAAGTAAAACCCTCCTGGGAGGAGCTCTTTCTTGCTCAACTCAGACTTACTTCCCTTACATCCTCTGTGGTCCTTGCAGGGAAGCGGCTGGGCACTAGAAAAGGTGTTTTTCTGTTTCTGTTTTTCCCAGCTGTGAATTACTCTACGAGGATTCCTCACCAGGAGCCACACCTCCAAACTGTCCTGGCCTCAATCCTGAGAACCTCCGAGACAGCACTCATGAACCTTGCGAGGGGTGAGCTCGAGTGAGAAGCCCCTGAACTTCTTGTTGTTTGGACTGCGTCGTCCTGGGTCCCTGCCCGGACAGCCAGGCTTGGGAGGTCCTCAGCGACTCTGGGATGGCAAACAGTCTCTGCTCCCTGGCCCAGAGGGGCTGTTTGCAGAATCAAGTGTCACATTCTTACAGATCGAGTTACCCGGGCACAGCTGGGGCTGGTCTCTGAAGAGGCGGCTGCACATACAGCTGCTGAGAAAGCCCCGCCTCACCGCCCCGCCCTTGGGAGATGAATTCCAGGCCCCCCTGGTGGCCTGGCCCCCCACACTGGAGGTGCCCAGTTAACCACGGGCCTCTTCATAAAGGCTCCTGGTGTCCCTGTCACCGTCTTGCCTATGTGCACTCCCAGCCCACCCCGTTTCCAGTTAGGCTCCCAAGTACGCCAAAGGACAAAGGGACCAATGCAGGAAGTAACCACAAAGAAACCCTCCCCATCTGGGGCCAGAGTCCCCATTCTTAAGGGCTGGTGCCTTAGGCAGGCACTGGGAAGAGGTCGATGCTGCTGTTCCAGCCTCATAGAGGCAGTGGGAGCCCCTGTTAAACGACACAAAATACAGAATGTACTAGGACTGGGCCGGCCACAGTCTGTGCTCAATAAATGGGGGCTCCTTTCATTAGCAAATGCCCTGTATCTCAGAGCGCTGCACAGGGCAGACTGTTCTTGTTCTCTGAGTCTGGGAATGTCTGATGGGGAGACTTGGGATCTGGGACAGATTCACGGTGCTCCGTTGAGACGCTGTGAGGAGGAAAGGGAGTCACCTGTGACCCCCCCCAACATCTGGGGAGGAAGATCAGCTCACCTTGCAGCTGGCAGACTGCCCAAACACAGCAGAAGAGAAGGGCTGGGGTGCTCTGGACATGTGTCTAGTCTCCTTAGCCACAACCCCCATTCTGGCCCCAAAATAGACTTTCAATATCCAGGCTGCATAGTGGTCCCCGGAGCCGAGGTCCTTAGCAGAAGGAAGGAGGAGGGCAGAGTCACACCTGGGAGAAGCCAGAGCAGGTGAGTCACGCTGTCCTCACACTGCTCCCATGGTTTAAAGACTAAAACAGCAAGAAGATGGGTGCTAACCAGCTGGGGGCCGGGTGCCTTTCCTGAGGCTCGGGTGACAGGAGGCCAGGGTGTGTGGGAGCTTCAGGGGAGCCGCCCAGGGCCTGCAGCTGTCAGGGGTGGGACCTTTTGCCCTCTGGGATCCCACCTGCCAGAAAGACCACTGCCCAAGGGCAGGTGCCTCCCCAGGACAGGGCTGGGAGCTTAGGAAGTGCTGAGTAGGACCCACAGGTCTGGGCAGGGCAGTTCTATCCCAGCAGGGGAGGCACGGAGAGGGGCAGCAATTCCTGCAGCAGGGGGTGGGCTGGACAGGGATGGGGCACTGTCTCAGCACTCACTGTGGACAGTGAAGGTCTATCACATCTCTCCCAACCTCAGCGGCCCTCTTCGCCCACCAGCCGCTCTTCTGACCTAAGCAGCCCTTCAGGCCTGGCTGGCTTGGGCTGGAACCTGAGAAAAGATGTTCTCAGGCAGGGCTGCAGGCTCGGGAGGAGGAGATGAGGTGGAGAGAGAGGACAAACTTGCCCCAGGAGTGTGACTACAGGCATGACAGGCCTTGAAACAGCACTGATTTCTACCTCACTGCTGCCTGCTCCCCCGCCGGGGAGGACTCACAGCGCCTCCATCCGCCCCCGGCTCCTGCCTCATCTCCACGGTCATAAAAGCTGGGCCTGGGCCCAGGGCTGCACGTGCACCAGGAAGGGGCAGAGCTGGGACAGGGGCTCAGTGGCCAGTT